CTTGAATCCAGTTAAAAACATTAAAATTTTTGTTTTTGTCACATTTATTCAGTTTTAATTTATTGCGTAATATATTTTGCATAACGTATATTTTTTACCTAATATATATAATATTTAACTAGTTCTTTGAATTATTTATTGATTCTACAATAATTTTTTTCATGTATGATTGAATGAAATTTCCATAAACAGTTTTTATAGTTCATTTATCAGTTGAACACTTTTTCATTCAATCAATGATTAATTTTTTTTATGAAGTTTGTATTACTTTGTGACTGTAATTATATTACTGCTTTTGCTTTCATTGAAACAGAAATCAAGATTTATTTCGTAAATTTTACAGAAGAACATCATAATAAACACTCTTCGTATATCAAAACTAAAATATCAATTTATTCTTTTTTTTTCTTTTTCAGTTTCTTCCTTTAATAATTATTAAACTTATCAACTTTGAATAGATGATACCTAAAACTTTACTCTACTTGTATGCTGTTATTACATTTATCGAATAAACAAACTTTAATAGAATTAAAATTAATTCTTCAATTATATCATAATAAAATTTGTGGATTAGTGCATGAATTAATAAAATAACATATAAATATTTAAATAAAATTTGGAAATGAAATATTTTTAAATAGATACCAGAAAAATATCAATACATTATTAGTATAAACAATGTATTAATTTAAACTGATAAATGACTTTTATACTTAAATTTATAAAATGAAATTATTTCTCGACTAAAATATTGAAGTTTAAAAAATTTGAAATTATTATTATAATGAATAATTTATTAATTATAGAGCATTGTAATTGTTTACTCGTTGATATTTTTACTGAAACATATTTAGTTTTTATCTAAAAAGAATAAGCGCATTAAAAAATAGGCGAATGTAGTTATATAAAAATATATATTCTCATAAATATATATTATATTAATAATATATAATTAAATAGATATTAAATTTATCAACTATTTCAACGCATGGATTTATATACGAATATTTGTAATAATACCTTTTTTTAAATTATATTATATCGAAAAAACTATATCATATACTTATTCATATTGTTTGATCGATAAAATATATAATTTTCCTGCTGCAGCATAAATAAAATATTTTATAACTAAATACATTAAGTTTACATTATTTTAAACGTTATAATAACTAATTTTTTTCAATAATTCCAAATAAAGAGCATAATTTTGAGTCATCGTGACTATAATGAATATGAAATATAAATATTGAAAAAGAAATAAATTAAATAAAACATCAAATGTGAAATTATTGATTCTATTAAAACAAATATAATAGTAGTATAATATATTTTATCATTGTAATATCAAAAAGAAATTTTAATTTTCAATAAAAAATTAAAAAAATCAGTTTTATCATTTTAATGTTTTGATTTTTAGTTTACTTAAAAAATGTGGAACGAAAGAAAAGACTGACTATATAATCATATTCAATTTAATCATTAGGTGCATATTATTAAAATAATTAAATAATTCTCATTTATAATAGAAAATGAAATTTGATAATATATGATGTTATACTTTGTGATTTTAATGAAATTGCACAGTCGTGCATTAAATAAAAGTTAAAAAATAATGATTATATATTTACTATATGCAAATCAATTATATGCATAGTAATAATGATATATATATTTTTATTTTAATATTTCTTTATTTTAATAATACAACATTAAATTGTGAGCATGTAAAAAAGTATATATATTACAGATATTTACTACATCTAAAAAGATATATGTAATATAAATATCTACGATAATATTTAATAAGTAAAATTTATATGTAATATATTTGCTGATACACGAAAAAATTAATCGTTCTTTGTCTCATAATTTTTTACATAAAACGTTTTATGATGTATAGTTAGCCCATATAACTTTATAATGTGTTTCCTGTATAATTAATACCCACTAATTAATACTATATGTACTTAGGTAATAGGATAAAGATTTGAACATACGATACCTTTACTAGTTTTCATACTTTTTCTACTATTTCGCTCTGACTATGTATCAAATATATGAATTTTGTACAGTGATAGCTTACACCCACTGTTTATACCAATACGAAACAAGATTTAGAGTACGAATGACTTATCATGAATAATACACCACGCCCACTTCCTCCAACACTACCTCTGGCACCATTAGACCACACCTACTATTTATGTTATTGAAACTCATAATAGTCAGATCATAATATAATTTTTCTTAATATATGCATTACATTTTAAATAGTTAAAATATTTTTACTATATTATTTATTATTACACTAAAATATATGACATGAAAAAAGAAGTACATTGTATAATTTTGTGATAATGTATTTTATACCTTTTACTCTTCATATTATTATTATACAAAAAAGTATTTGAAAAATTATTTAGAAATATTTGAAATTAAAAAAATTATCATCATTAAATAATAGACACGAAATCATTCTTAATATAGTATTTATATATTGTTAAATTTATTGTGGTCGTTTAAATTAAATAATGTTTATTCAATATTAATATTATTCTAATATTATTAATATATATATCGAACATAATATTGATGTAACTAGTTTAATTTTTATATTTTGACAATAATTTTAATTTGAAAATACTAAATTTAAATAAATCAGAATTTTCAATGAGAATATTTAGAAATGAGGAAAATAATTGAAAATAATTATATTTTTATACAATGGGACAAACAAATTTCAATACATTGATGTATGAATAATTTATAGAATTAAATTTATGAAAGTTAATAAATATTATAGTTGGATTTTTATTTGATTATATAAATTTTAATTAAAAATAATAAATAAAAATTACTTTCTTTTTAAATCTTAAATATTTTTACTACAAGTTTTTCAACTATGAAAATCACTATTCAAAATGTTAGTATTTTTAATTAAATTATATTATTATATTACGAAAAATGTATAAAAAAGTGTTTAATAGAATTATATATATAGAATTATATATAGAATAATTGAAAAACATTACTATATGTATCAATATACCAAATATAATTAGCATGTTTTCTATATAATATATATGTATTGTAAAATATATGTATAACTTTAATATAAATAGAAAGTTTTATATTAAATTTTATAAATATTATATAAATATTATATATATTATTTATATTAAAGTTTTATACATCTACAGTACATTTCTGTAGTCATTTTAAAAATATATGATAATAGTAGTATAAATAAATATTAATATTTACACAAATCTAAAATTTTTAATATTATTAGTCATGATTGATTACTCAAATTTTTAAATTCGTAACATAGTAAAAATAAATTAAAATTTATGTTTAATTATTGAAAAATTATTAAAATATAATTTCTACTTAAAGTCACTATAATTGCTCTACTATATTACTAAATATGCTATAGATATTAACCACAAATGTGTACAAAGCATTTTAGTAACTTATTTACAAGTATTTAAATCAAGAAAAACAATGCATAATTTGATATTTCCAAAAAAACAAATATAGATACAATTATAAATGCTTAATTTTAACATATTTATTTATCAACGTATAATAAGTTCTTCTAAAATAATACTATTAAATACAAATTTATATCAATACAAAAATACTCGACGATACTTTTATTTTGAAGTCTTTAAAATTTGAATATATACCTAATTGTCAAATGAATGTATTTTTAAGAATGACTTTGATAGTAATTTTAAAATAATAGTAGTATCTCAAAAAAATTGTAGTCATCATAACATATGTATTGTGTGATTTATAATTTTAAATTTATATAAGGTAATTAAAAAAATAATATAATGCTGAAGATGAATTATAAATTAATAATTTTAAAATGTTTTGTTTTTGTTTTATAATCAAATATTAGCCAAATTTTCATTAATTTATATATTTATAAGTTTTTGATAATATTTTAAATTGTCTGTTTGATATTTGAATAAGTATTCATTGAAACTAATTCAAATGAATTTTAAATTATACTTTCTTCTTAAAAATACTTGATATCAAATTTAAAAATTGGTCTGTTTGTTTTATATGCTTATATTAAAAAACTACTTTTAGTAATAATAGGAAAAAATTTTTGTTGGGAATGTAGTGGATAAAGTAGTAGGAGCCAATGAAAATAATCTCGGGGCATGTTTCTATTTTGACTCCACCTTCGTAACCATGGAAACAAGTTTACTGTAAGAAACCAGTAAGCATTTCAGACTGGGAGACTGAAGCAGTGTCAAGGGTCGAGCAGAAGTGCAGTTGGTATTTGGATGATCCTGAGTGCAGTAGTGAGCATAAGTTCAATAACTACAGTTTCTTTTCGTAGTTTTGTATAAATGTAAGCCAGGCTATGTTTTGAAAATGACTGAAATTTAATACATATATCTCTTTAAATTTATAATATATTATTAAAAAAACTACATTAGAACCTTATATATTATTGATATATTTAATCTGTATATTGAATATTATTTTTGTTTATTATAAAATAAATTTTATTGATAATGACATTTTCAAAATTTTATAAAATAATTACTATGTGTATTTTGAGGGTATTCATTTAATTGTGTAAAATTTTATTGCATAATGAAAATTTAGATTTTTTACTACTGTTCAATGTCGTAATAAATATAATATGGAAATAAATAGTTTATAAAAAATTTTATAAAAAATAAATAATTTATTATGTGCATCGGTTATTTTACACATTTTACACGAATAGTTAAAAACTTATTTAAAGTATCTTAACAATGTTTCAATAAATAAAATCACACCTGCATGTTTATGTATATTATTCTATAAGATTCTACGCGTGCCTGTGTAGCGTACGCTCGTGCGGGACTGTGCAAATACGAAGATAGACGCGCGCGTGTGTATAGAAATATGAAAAATTAAGTTCAGTGTTTATTTCTAAAGTGTAATAAAATAACTTTTTATAAATTTTGAACTTATCCATTGTAGAAAAGTGACAATTTACATATTTTCAATCATATAAATGTAATGCAACGAATCCGTATTTAACGTCATTAATTAATAGTGATGATGTACCTTGAATAATAACTCTATAACTTGTTTCATAAAAATTTATTTGCATTAATTTTAATTCGGTAGCCACATTGGAGCTGGGATTTTCAGCGCGAAGCACCACCGCCTCCATGGCGATGGTAGCTCCGCCGCCCTCTTGGGCTTCGCGAGATCCAGCAACTATATTAACCAGTGTTAGCAATCATACTGTTCATTCTAATCAGTTAGGAACAAATATACCAATTACGCCAACACATTTAACATCAACTGCAGTCCCTGAAGATATTACGTGTCTTATGAATTCTGCGTCTATTTTAACTCGTGATCCCCTGCCTCAAAGTACTACGCCTGGAAGTCAAGGAAACAGTTCACAATCTGGAAGTTCTCAAACAGACAAATCATCGAATATTGAATGTGTAGTTTGTGGTGATAAAAGTAGTGGAAAACATTATGGACAATTTACTTGTGAAGGTGAGCAAATATATAAATAATTTATGAGAAAATTTTAATAATTAATATATATATATATATATATATATATATATATATATAATTATAAATAATACTTAATAGAAATAATACTAATATCATTAATAAAATTAATATTTCATAATAAATAATCATACTGTTAATTAAAAAAAAATAGTAAGAATAAATTATTAAAAATATATAAATTTAAAAATTAATATTTAAATAATTCCAGTATTTTTTTAACAAAATATTCATTTATAAAATAATATAATTAATTCATAAAAATTCTTCATATTGTTTTGTTCTATGTAAATTTGTCTGAAAAAAAATTGTTTAAAAACAAAATAATTCTTTCTATATATGAGTTAACAATATTTTTATTTACTTTGCATACTAACTACAAACTAAATGCTTTTAATTGATGTATTAATTTTTTTTTTGTTCTAAGCTAACTATGTAAAATTTTATATTATAGGATAATAATTAATGAAAGTTACTAAATTTTCTAAATAATAAATAATATAAAAATGATAACAATCTAATCTTTAAATTAAATATTTAATGAGTTTTTTTAATTAAACCTGAAAATGTTGCGTATAATATATTATTATGTATTATATATTTAGTTCATAATTTTAATTTTATACAAGATTTAACTTTAAACGTCAAAGTAATTAATTAATTTCATTTAATGTCGATATACATAGAAAAATATATTATAGATTTAAAGATAATTTAAATTAAAAAAAAATTATTCTTTAAAGTCCAAACAAATTCTATTAAAGTAATTAAATATGATATATATATATATATATCACCCCCCACACACACGCACACACACACATATGTTAACTATAACCGAAATACTTTGTACATTAGTACATTTTTAATATTCATTTATTTCTTCCTATTTATTTATATATATGTGTACATAAAGAAATATATATTTGTTTTCAACGCTAATATATATTCAGAAAAACTAATATTTCTGCAATAATATTTATTAGTTTTTCACTATATTTATATTAGTATTGAAAACAAATATATTTTGTTTTGTGTGTGTGTGTGTGCGTGTGTACGTGCCCGCGCGCACATGTGTATAAATAAATAGTTAGAAATATGAATATTAAAAATGTACTAATGTACAAAATATTTCGTTTATAGTTAACATTATCTATTTTTATAAATTTCAAGATCTTTTAATTGTATTATTTTCAAATTATTCAAAGAACTATCATAACAATTAACAAATTTAAATAAATTAAATAGATAAAACACAAAATATTGTTATATTTTCCAAATTAATAATACGACTATTGCAAAATCGCAGAGTTTGAACTTTGTAATATATATTTGAGTATACAAATATATATAAATGTGATTTAATAAAGGAAATAAATAATTATTATTACAAATTCGCCTTTTGTATTTATTAAAAACTACAAATATACCATAATTTAAGTAAACACAAAAAATATGATTTATTTTATTTTTAATAACAAATAATATTTGTAAAATATTTTAGAGAAATAATTAATCTCCATACTTATGACATACATTTTTATATATATAATTAAAAATATTTAAAATAAAAATGGTCTATTTATATAAATAAATAATCTTGTGTTTAAATATGACTTTATTACATTAAGCTATCTAATAACTGGTGTGAGAGATACATTATACAGTTATAACGAATTATTTTTAATAATAACTTATAATTAAATACAAATTCCCACTTTTCTTTAAACGTTCTTTTTATTGTTACAAATATACAAAGTTGGAAAATATTAAATTTTTCAGTAATTAGTTTTCAGTACAAAGTTCTTTTTTTTGTAAAATTATATCAATCTCTCATATAAAACATTTAATTAGATATTCATATTTTGTTTCTAATAGATAAAAGAATATTACTTCGATCTCATTATGATATTTAAGCTCTTTATCTCATCTGTACTAAATTATATACTAATCAAAAGATTATTATTCATTATCGTATATTAATATTTGATATATTTATGAAGTTAGGTTTAAATTTATTTCGTTTTTAATTTCAATCATTTTCCTATACTTATGTTTGTGACTAGTTTTTACTCTTACGTTAAAAGTTCATTGTAGTTACTCTTATTTTATGCAATCGACGAGATATATTTAGAATTATTTTTAAAAAGTAAATTTTTAAAAGTAAGAAGTAATATTTTTATTCCGATTTAAAGTACTCATTCTTTCTGATTCAGGAGTACCAGTGATTCTGTATTTCTGTTATTTCGTTTATCTGATAAATATCATTCGTTTTATGAAACGTGTAAAAACGAACTAGAAAATAAATAACAGGTGAGAACTGCATATCTCTGACGCGTGTCAATGTGTTGCTTTAAAATATTCTTTACTATTTTAATTAGATACAATAAAAATTAAATATTAGGGATTAATTATAATTAAATGAAATTGAGTATATGATAAAAGATAAATACATCGTAACTAACATTTCTTTTAATTTAAAATGCATTTCAGTTAAAATAACAAGTATAATTAGAATTTATCAAAAATAATATTAATAATTCATTGTAATTGCATTGAATATGTTAATACATAGAAGCATTTTATAAACAAAGTACGTTATTAATTTTCAACAACTAGTCAAACATTCCGAACAAAGTGAATTCCACTGTTTTTTAGTTTTGTTTCTTTACAGACTATTCTATATTTTATAATTTGCGTTTCAATTAATAAAGTTAATTATTTATACTATTAGTATTTTATATATTTTATTATAAAGTGTGTAATTATATCTACGATTTTATTAATGTTATTCATATTGAAATTTTGTTAATATTAATATATACCAATATTATTATATTTTAAACATTAAAAAATTTATATAAATTATGTCGCTATAAAGTTTTGTGATTATTTGTATATCTGTACATTAAAATATTCTTTACAGCTTTATTTTATGTGTTTTAAAAATGAGGTGTACGTTTACAATATAATAATAATTCATTTAAATAATATTCTTGTAGTCAAATTTTTTGTAATTTTAAATTTCGAAGATTTATTGCATGCACACACTGATTTACCACTTACTCAAGAGTTATCACAAAAGTAAAAAAAGTTGAGCTTATTTTTATATATTTGCACAAATTTTTAGATTTATAATATGATGTAATTTAATTTTACAAAATCTCTATTTTGTTTAAATTTAATTTTGTTTGTATATATGTATCTTAATTATAAAATAAAATTCAGCCTGCAATTTATATAATATAAAATTCCTTATTGGATTTTATTCATTGGATAAATAATTTAAAATGTTTGTATATTTCCTTATTAACATGTAATTTCTTAGTATAATAATCTTTTTTTTTTTAATTTATATAAGTTATCTAATTATAATAATAATTTGTTCTAATATGTATGTTATATAATATAAATAATAATTGTTTTAATATATATGAGTTATGTAGTTATAATAATTATAAAAAATTAATTATTATTATAACAAATTTTATATTAATAAGGAAATATACAAAAATTTTAATTCGTCTATGTATAAAACTTTGTTTTACGTTATAGCATTGAAATAATATTGAAAATTTAAAGATTATTCATTTTGTAACAGAAAATATGAAATACTGTATGGATTTTATTTGTTAAGATTGTAAAAAACATATATATTATGTTTTATTTAAAAAGGGAATAACTTTTTGGGGGCTTATATAAGATTTTTCACTTAATTTCATATATAAAATTAATTTGAAGTAATTATAAATATTATAAATAAATAAATATAAATATTTGTCGAAGAAATTCAATAATGATTAAGCAAATGATTTATAATACTATATGATAATACAAAGCATTGCAAAGGACAAATGTACATGTGGTAATGTAAATGTCTACATTTTGATATTTCAACTAGTAATATTTTAATATAAATATTAATTTAATAGTGATCTGCAAAGCGATATTAAATAGCGTGGATTAATTATTTATATAGATTTTTTTTAAATCAATAGATGGTAAATTGGTGTACATATGAACCATACAAATCAAAGTTTTTATAATATTATTGAGAAATATCTCGAAAAGAAACTTTCCATATTTAAACTAATATAAATTAAAATATGTTTATTCGTTTTTATATTTAATGACAATAATTGATTATTATTAACGATAAATTTAAGATTGAGTTATTGACTGGAAAATTCCGGAAAGTTGTAGTTTATATTTATGAATAGGAGATTTCCTATGATTTACAATGATATCATGGGATTCTTCACATTAGGTTTATTTAATGGACAAGTGTGGTAAGTAAGTTCTGTAATATGTAATTTAATTTTAATTGCTGTCATTTGTGTTTTATCGTCTTGAGGAATATTATATCTATAAAGTTCGATATGCATTTATTGCCCATAATAAACAATAAAATACTTATATTTTTGGCGCTTGTATAGTATACAAGTGAAGATGCAATTAGTTCCATTTATTGTATTTTAAAAATCAATATTTGACATATGTTGGTTACAGTATTTTTAATCTAAATAATTAAATTTTATACTAAACTACATATATTCTGAATTTTAAAGTTTAACAGATAACGGTGTTGTACCAAGACTGATTTTAATATTTTACTACTGCAGATGATATCCGTCAAAATAAGAAGTAAAAATTTGTTGTTAGATGTTGAGATAATTTATAATTACAGGTTAATGTTAGATATAACGGTATAAGATAAGCTAAAGTTTAAGAAATGACAGATATAAGATATGATATATTTTGAAGAATAATAAGTACATTTAAAGGTTTGATGGATTTTATATATGATAAATTTTAATGTAAAATACCTACTTTGTAGATTACTACGTTAGTAAATAGGCAGTCTGTCACACCGTTTTAAATAAATTTACTTTAATAATTAATAATTGCACGACTGATTTTTAACATTTATGGACTTTCATGCTATATATCTTCATTATCAACGTTATATTTATATAAAT